AAAAAAAAAAAAAAAAAAAAAAAAAAAAAAAAAGTCATGGCTTTCTTAGTAAAGAGGTGGTATGAAAAGGAGACAAATGAACCTAAGGAACTTGTTTTTAGTTTTCTGAAATGATGCCAACCTCAACTCCCCTCCACCCCTGCCCCACCTCAAATAAAAGAATCAGGGGGAAAAATATTACTATCAAGTAATACACTTTATCATTTGCAGATATAGGTTATCATACATCTTGAATGAATAGCTATGTCCAAGCCTGTTTTAAAGAACTATTAAAACACTTGAAGGTAAATGGATGCTTTGTCTGATTTGTAGCTAAACCCTCACACTCATTTCAGATCTATTCATTGAACTATGATACCCAAGATTCATAACACAATTTTTTGATGAAACGTAAAGTTTCATAATATCCTCAAAAGTCATACGTAGAATAAAATGATTCTCTGCTTAAAAGTTAAGACTTAGGCTCTGCAGCAGTACAGTTCATAGACATGTAATGCAATCTATATATGAAATTTTAATTTTTCTAAGTAACCACATAAAAAAGTAAAATAAAATGAGTGATATTAATGTTAAATATATATTTTGTTTAATCCAATGTACTAAACATAACACTTCAAGATGAAAAAATAAATTAGTGAGATATTTTTTACATTTTTATACTTAGTCCTCAAAATCTTGCATGTGTTTTACAAGTATAGTACATCTCAGTTAGAATGCTAAATTTTAACTGAAAATACTTTTTATTTAGATTTAATAAATTTTATCATTGCAAAAGTAGATTCCTTACTCAAGTTGTTCCAAACATACTAAAAAGTTTCCCAAAAGCCTAAGTGAATATCAGTTTTTATATTAAAATTAATAAAAGTAATGAAATTAAAAGTTCAATTTCTTAATCACACTAGCCAACTTTCAAGTCCTCAACAGGCTATAAGTTGCTACTGGCTACAATATGGGGCAGAGACGCTCTGGAGCTGTGAGGGACCAACCTGGGTAAGAATTCAGGCTTTGCCGGTTACCGGCTGCTTAGCAAATTACCTAGCCCTCTCCAAGCTTCAATTCTATCGTCTGTTAAACAGGGGAAAGACCCACATTCCACATGTTTCAACTTCTGCCAGCAAAAATAGCAGCAGAATAGAAACTACAGTTTGTTTTCTCCTTCACAATAGAGGTGGTGAAATCATTTCATCAATTTATAATAATCAGAACCAATCTAAATGCCTACAGTGTAAGAATGGTTAAATACTTTTAACTCATCCGCTGTAGCCCTAAAATTCAATTAATTATTATTATTATTATCGGTTAATATAATTAAGAAAAAGGTATCATTATGAATAGCTCGACTGCTGAGTGCGTGCACAAAGATAAACTTATAAGGACCAGACACCTATCGACAGCGGCTGCCTGAAGCAACACGATGGGGGCGGGGATGGAGCTAGCACACGCCTTCAGTTTGTATTTCTGGGCAGTTATTGTCCAAAAATGCTTTTTTTCTAAAAAGGAGCTATTACTTTTGTATTTCAATGAGAAAATCCCAAATCTGCTTTGAAACGACTACACTTTTCCCTCACTGTCTGCATCGTGATTTTAAATATAGCATAAATGTACTCTAATAAGGAGAAACTGCTGTACGGAAATACTTTTATCAGAACGCACAACACTCGCCCTTAATCTTTCAGTGAGCCGTTTCCCGCCAGGCAAACGGAAGCAAAACCGCCCTTGACGTCATGGGAGGCGGCCTCTCCTAGTTACCATGGTGAAGTCTACGCGGCCATATTTACTGTGGTCAGCCCGCACCAAGCTTTTTCCTAGCGCGGGTGGTGGCGCGCCGTGGAAATGTCTGCAGAATAAGAGATGAGAAACGAATCATAAGCCTCAGTGAAGGACCAGGGCAGAACGCCTTAATCTAGTTAGTGGAACGTAGAGGTGCACATGCCGCGGATTAGCGGAACGATTCAAGCGGAGTAGTGAAGTTTCTGCCCGGACTTTGAAAGCCGCTTCCGTTGCGCGGCGGAAGTGTGAGTCGCAAGAGGACGACTCTGGGAAGAATCCGCTGTCCGCTGTGTGCGCGCAACCGGAGTCATGTCGAGTTTGACGGTGAGAGACCCGGCAATGGATCGATCACTGCGTTCCGTGTTCGTGGGGAACATTCCGTATGAGGCAACTGAGGAGCAGTTGAAGGACATTTTCTCCGAGGTTGGTTCCGTTGTGAGTTTCCGGCTGGTATACGATAGAGAGACGGGAAAACCTAAGGGTTATGGCTTCTGCGAGTACCAAGACCAGGAGACCGCGCTTAGTGCCATGCGGAACCTTAACGGGCGGGAGTTCAGCGGGAGAGCGCTTCGGGTGGACAATGCTGCCAGTGAAAAGAACAAGGAGGAGTTAAAGAGCCTAGGGCCTGCAGCGCCCATCATTGACTCACCCTATGGGGACCCCATCGATCCAGAAGATGCCCCTGAGTCCATTACCAGAGCAGTCGCTAGTCTTCCCCCGGAGCAGATGTTTGAGCTGATGAAGCAGATGAAGCTCTGTGTCCAAAACAGTCACCAGGAAGCTCGAAATATGTTACTTCAGAACCCACAGCTGGCTTATGCGCTGTTGCAGGCTCAAGTAGTGATGAGAATCATGGATCCAGAGATTGCTCTGAAAATTCTGCATCGCAAAATACATGTCACACCACTCATCCCAGGCAAATCTCAATCCGTTTCTGGCCCTGGCCCCGGCCTTTGCCCAGGACCTAATGTTCTGCTGACCCAGCAGAATCCTCCAGCCCCTCAGCCTCAGCATTTGGCCAGAAGACCTGTGAAAGACATCCCTCCTCTGATGCAGACCCCTATCCAGGGTGGAATTCCAGCTCCGGGCCCAATTCCAGCTGCAGTTGCTGGCCCTGGCCCCTTAACTCCTGGTGGAGCAATGCAGCCCCAAGTTGGAATGCCAGGGGTTGGTCCTGTGCCCTTAGAGCGGGGACAGGTGCAGATATCAGATCCTAGAGCTCCTATGTCTCGTGGACCCATGACTGCTGGTGGCTTACCTCCTCGAGGACTGTTAGGGGATGCTCCAAATGACCCACGTGGAGGAACTTTGCTTTCAGTCACTGGAGATGTAGAGCCCAGAGGCTATCTTGGCCCACCACATCAGGGTCCTCCAATGCACCATGCGTCTGGTCATGACAGCCGGGGCCCTTCCTCACATGACATGAGGGGAGGGCCATTAGCAGATCCCAGACTGCTCATTGGAGAACCCAGAGGACCCATAATAGATCAAAGGGGTCTACCTATGGATGGTAGAGGTAGCAGAGATTCTCGAGGGATGGAGACTCGAGCCATGGAAACTGAGGTCTTAGAGACACGAGTAATGGAGAGAAGAGGAATGGAAACCTGTGCAATGGAAGCCAGAGGGATGGAAGCGAGAGGCATGGATGCAAGAGGAATGGAGATGAGGGGCCCTGGCCCCAGTTCAAGAGGCCCTATGGCTGGGGGAATTCAGGGTGCTGGTCCTATTAATATGGGGGCAGGTGGTCCTCAGGGACCCAGACAGGTCCCAAGCATTTCAGGGGTGGGAAATCCTGGAGCTGGCATGCAGGGGGCAGGTATGCAAGGAGCAGGCATGCAGGGGGCAGGTATGCAAGGAGCAGGCATGCAGGGGGCAGGTATGCAAGGAGCAGGCATGCAGGGGGCAGGTATGCAGGGAACAGGCATGCAGGGGGCAGGTATGCAAGGGGCAGGCATGCAGGGGGCAGGTATGCAGGGGGCGAGTATACAAGGGACAGGCATGCAGGGAGCAGGCATGCAGGGAGCAAGCATGCAAGGGGCAGGCAAGCAAGGTGGAGGCCAGCCTAGCAGTTTTAGTCCTGGGCAGAGTCAGGTAACCCCACAGGATCAAGAAAAGGCAGCTTTGATCATGCAGGTTCTTCAACTGACTGCAGATCAGATTGCCATGCTGCCTCCTGAGCAAAGGCAGAGTATCCTGATTTTAAAGGAACAAATCCAGAAATCTACTGGAGCTTCTTGAAAGGTTTTAGAAAATACTTGGCAGTAGTCCCACAAAGGTTTTCTGTAGCACAGAGAATGGGTGGGTGCAGTAAGCTGACTTCTTGAATGATTAGGAGTTCCCTCCTCTCAACCTAATCTCATTTCGTGTAGTCTTCTTAGTTTTTATTTTTAATTGTGGGGTAGGGGGAGGGGGGAAGTGGGTCTATTCACTTTAATTTACTGTAAATAATACAAAAATAACTCTGAACATGATTATATTATACCAAATAAGATTACAAAGGATATGCAGCATTGTTAAAAGGGTCTACAAGGTGTTAAGTACATTTTTAAAATACTGAGCAAAACAATGTGAAAACTGCACCTAAAGACTAAAAGATGACCTGTTAAAATGGTAATGTACTAAGATAGTTTAACATGTTTGGTTGTATAAGAAAATAAAGACGTTTACCTCAAAATTACAAGATAATAGTTTTTGGTGAGCCATTTAAAACACAGAATCCTGTTTCAGGGGCAACAGAATGCTGAATTAGGTAAAGTACTGTACTGTTTTGGAATTACTTCAGAATGTTAAGAGCTAAACAGATAATTCTCAACTTGTGGTATTGGAATTGTTTTTTTTTTCTGAAGCTATGCTACCTGAAAAATCAAGGAATGCATCTGATGTGATGTTATTTCATTTATCCCATCTTTCAAGCAATATTTTGTTCTGGCCTTGTGCATGACAGTTTTGCTGGGACAGTTCTAGGTCAACGAGGTTACTTAAATCTGCTCTGATGAGACTCTCTCTCTCAGTACCTTCCTATTTCTCAATAGTCTTTAAGCCCTAAATCTGAATCTGAATAATTCTCTCACATCCTTCCCCCAAATCTGTGTAGGGACCAGTTGATCTGCATGAATTAAACATAGCATTGGACTTTTCATAAATAATGGAAGGTTTCATGCAGTAAAGCTCTCAGTTTTCTAGTAACTAGCTTCCATTACACAGATCTGTCTGGTCAACCAGAATCAGGAGTTAAAAATCTTAGTCTCAGCAACATTTAAAATGCCTCTTAATTTTCTTATTTCAAAATCTGCTTATCTGTCACCATTTTACCAGAATAATTGAAGCCCAGGTAGGTAAAGATATCCTTGTAGCCTAAAATCTGCTAAATTGGTTATTACTTTCCTTTTACAAGTAATAAAGCCATTTAATCCTAATATACATGCCCATGAGACATATTTAAAAATCAGTAGGAAGGTGGGGCTTACCACAGTAACTTTAGAGCTACTACTTAATTTGTAAGCCTTAAGGATGTGGAGACAAACATTTGTGTGACAGAACAAGTAGTAATAACAGAAGTATAAACACCTAAATAACCAGGTGATCTTACTCAGGAGAAGAAAAGCCAATACTTAGTTACAGAGGAAGAAATTACTTAATACAAGGAGAGAGCGGAGGCTTAGAAATTGAATTACTTTCCTGTTGCAAGGTTTTTACATCTTAAATGGATAATTCACTCTTTTTATAAAGTTTACCTCCCTACGATGTTTCCTGCTACCTATTTTACTCCTGTTTTATTGTTCATACTGTTAACTTCCCCATGTTTTCTATATGCTTCCCCTTATTGGAGGGGATAACTCTCCTGTACATGTATAGTAGTTCTGGTTAATACTAATTCAGAGTTGGCTTGATTACTTTGAAACTGTAGTTGCTTTATCTCAAAGCTTTCATTGAAAGGCTCTGAAAACTATTAAATGTTATGCTCTCTGTTATAGTAAAATCTCTGCATTGTTTAATGCAGACTTAATAAAAAGAATGTACAATGAAGGCTGAGTTTAGTGTCTGATGTTTATTTTATTTTATTTTTTTGTGGTATGCGGGCCTCTCACTGTTGTGGCCTCTCCTGTTGCAGAGCACAGGCTCCGGAAGCGCAGGCCCAGCAGCCATGGCTCACGGGCCCAGCCGCTCCGTGGCATGTGGGATCTTCCCGGACCGGGACATGAATCCGTGTACCCTGCATCGGCAGGCGGACTCTCAACCACTGCACCATCAGGGAAGCCCCATGATGTTTATTTTTACTAAATGTGTTATTCAAAAGTTATCTATTGAGAGTTCCATGGGGCCTGAATACTTTTTCTTTCAAATGAAAAAGGCAAATCTAAAGAAATTACGGGACTGAATGGAAATACCTTTTTTAAGATTCATTATCTATAAAGTTCCACAGTTGAAATACCTATATATTATATATGCCAATCATGTTTTTCTATAGTAGGTATCAGTAGCAACATCTTGGATACTCAGCTGTTAGGCTTCCTTTTGTTTGTATTCCCCACTAAGAACGCCTCTGTATCCCAGGAGCACCTTATAGGTACTGTATCTTCATTACTGACAGCACTTGTTACATTGCAATGCACTATTTTACTTTTACTCTCTACCCCGCCCCCCGACTCCCACTTTTAATAGACTGAATATGGACTGTCTTACTCATTTCTATATTCTCCATAGCAAAAATTGCAGGTGAGAAGGAAGGACAAAACATTTTATCAGAGTTTTAGTGGAAAAAAAAATCCTGTTAAGAGCACATGAACTTCCCTACAAAGGATTTAAATTCCACACAGAACAAATGAACTATAACAACTATTTGCATTAGAAAATAAATTAAAAACAGATAATACAAGCAATCTCCTATACTCTGATAAACTGAATAATATCGGTTCTCTCCTCATTTCCAATTCACACATGGTCTGACTGTTCCAGTACTGATGTACACAAGCAGTGCATTTCTGCTACAATCAGAATCGTGTTTTACTACGTAATTGTTGGTTATAATCCTGGCATCCTGCATTTTCCCAAATATGGACAGACTAAAATGAAAGCAAATTGATTCATAATAACAACAGTTGAAGACAGTGGGGTGAAACACTGATTTGCAAATGCCTCTTTATGGCTTATTCCTCTTGGGCAGTGCATATTTTTTGGAAATAAACCATCAGCTTTAATCAGTGCCTGCTCATAGCCCTTTCCCTCTTACATTACTGATTAATATCAAAATACATTTTAATGTTGGTGGTATCCCAAGACTAATGATTTGGGGCCATTTGATAAGATAGAAGCCAATGTGAGTCTCAGGTGAAGGTAGGCTAATCCAAGTAAGATCGTGTATGACTTTTCAACTCCTCAGAATTCTAAAGGTAGAAAGCATTTTTTTTTTTTTAAAAAAGAAGAACCTTAATATAATCACAGCTTCCAAAGCTTCTTGCTTTTCCATGCTGTGATGGGACATTAGCTAAGCACACAGAACCTGATTTCCTATGGTGTGTCAGGCCATTCTCTTAGGGCTGATGAGGTCTAAGGATAATTACGTGCAACAACCTACCGTGGCAGATAAACTGAATTATCAGTTACATCTCAGAGTTTTCTCACAAAAGAATATGTCAGCCTCTCAGTGCTTTACACTGCCAGCTAATCGCTAGACAGATTTCTGCTTGCAGCTTGCTTTTCTCATCAGTCTTTTGTCAAGAATGCTCTAGAGTCAAGACTTAATTCATTTTAAGGAAACGAATATATTCAAACTAATTAATAATTACTAATAATATTGTTAAATATTATTGATAGTGTGACTATTACATGATATTGGTATCTAATATGCTAATATATTTCATATGTATATGTATATTTCAGATCTTAACTGAACCAGATCTTTTAATATTTTCATTTGCTTCTGTCACCTTAAAACAAAAGTTTTACCCCCATGGTTGGAAATATCAGCTTCACAGATATTCATATTACAAATTACCTTTCTCATGAAATGTTAATGGACATGTTTGTCCTAGATATTTTTGTACCACAATATAAAGCTTATGCCAGTAAAGGACATGTAGAGTATCAAAAGTGACTTTCAGGTAGCACTGTCAAAAATAATAAACCTGGTGCTTATTAAATGCTGTACATAAAAATACCAAACTATTTACCTAGAAAAAGAACTGAGGGCTTCCCTGGTGGCGCAGTGGTTGAGAGTCCGCCTGCCAATGCACGGGACACGGGTTCGTGCCCCGGTCCGGGAAGACCCCACATGCCGCGGAGTGGCTGGGCCCGTGAGCCATGGCCGCTGAGCCTGCGCTTCCAGAGCCTGTGCTCCGCAATGGGAAAGGCCACAACAGTGAGAGGCCCACGT